GCAGTGTCCATATGATTTCTTTTCATTTCTCCCAAGCGGGCGGAGGCTGAGTAGAAGGAATGACCCTCTCTCTGTAACCAATCCTTGGGGCTCCTGTGAAACAGATCTGCTTGCACCCTTAACTCCCCCTTTTCTTTTGGCTGGAAGGCTTGTTAGGGTTTGTGAGAGGAGGTTCAGGACCTTGAGTTTGAGAGGGGACCAGGGATGTGACCTGAGTATGACAGATGGTACCTTCTTGTATTGCGATGCTCTTTTGGCCACATGTGATCTGGGGCTTGATTATCAACTGTAATCCCGCCTGATACAGATAACACTGAGGGAAACTTCTGGCTGAGTGTTTATGCAACTGGCTGTGTCTGGGACTGAGCTGAGTTCCCTCTTTCTGGGGTCAACTGCAGAGATTAGGCCTGTGGGGCAGGAGTCCTTTGTTGAGGTTCCAAGATAAGAACTCTGGGGACACACAGTGGTGGCCTGTGCTCCTGGCCCCGCCCCGGCATGTTCGGTGGTATTGGAGTCAGGCAAGCCTGGTTCAGGCTGGGGACCCCAGTCCAGGATGGTTGCTGGGAGGGGAGTGGCCTCCAGCCTTCTTTGAAGGGAGAGGGTTAGTCTACATGCCATAAATTATAGATATTCCTCCTTCACCTCCACACAGGTGACCTCCCAGGAACAGAGCTGTTATTTCCATCCTGTCCATTCCTAGCCACTCCCTCCCTGGTGCCCAGCCTCACTTAGCGTCCTGGCAGGGAGACGGGGCAGCATCTGGAGGGTCAGCCTCTGATTTTGCATTAAACTGGCTGTGAGGTCATGGAAGGAGAAACCACACAAGCTGTGTGTGTGGGAATTGCTCCCTGCTGTACAGCTCTCATGGGCTAGGTCTGCTCAGGAGGATGGCCGCAGACCCAGAGAGAAAAGCGTTTTGAAGTTGACCAGCATCCCCATCTTCTCCGTGCCACCTGGCTGCAGAGCACCGTGGACAGAGTAGCTTCCTGGAATTGGGATTTATGTCAAACTTGTATATAAGAGCACCTAGAAATGTTCCTTTCATAGTTAGAGACAAGCAGATTTAGGAAAGAAACTTCTCTAGAACACATTGTGACATGTCCATCATAGGAGGTCTGGGGGTACAGACTCAAGGAGGGCCTGTTGGATGGTTGCCCCCCAGCCCCCATCAGTACCATCTGTGAAACCCTGGATCTTCTTGTTTTTGTAACAAAGTAGACACTGATTATGCATGACTTTTTAATATTTGGGAGCTGAAAGTCTCAAAACATTAGAAAAGTGTTTTTAAAAAGTTTAAGGTGTGGGGCTTCCCTGGTGGTGCAGTGGTTGAGAGTCTGCCTGCCGATGCAGGGGACACGGGTTCGTGCCCCGGTCTGGGAAGATCCCACATGCCGTGGAGCGGCTGGGCCCGTGAGCCACGGCCGCTGAGCCTGCGCGTCCGGAGCCTGTGCTCCGCAACGGGAGAGGCCACAATAGTGAGAGGCCCGCGTACCGCAAAAAAAAAAAAAAAAAAGTTTAAAACATCAAGCAAATAGATGAACTAAACAAATTCTAAATAAAAAAGGGAAATTTACATGTGTAGGAATGTGTATCTTGTCTCTCCTTAACCTGACAGGACCAACTCCTGGCTCCTTTCAGTAGTTCCTGTATTGCTGTGTTCTCTACGTTTAAATATTCTACAGCATTTGTGCAATTTTGCTACTGATTAATTTCCTAAGAGCCTTACGGTCTGGAGTTCATCTGGTCTGCTGATTTCATGGTTCTTAGAGAAACAGTTTTTTCCTCATACTTCCATGTCATGAGGGCCCTGCAAGGACAATCTCAACAGCCTTCTCCTCTGTAGTTTTCTACCCGAGAGGAGAAGGACATGATCTGTTCTGTCATTTCTCCAGGCCTGGCCGAGTGGTGGTGAGAGCTTGGAGTTGGATGGGCCAGGCCATTTTTTAAAAATTAATTTTTATTGGAGTATAGTTGATTTATAATGCTGTGTTAGTTTCAGGTGTACAGCAAAGTGAATCAGTTATATATAGACATATATCTACTCTTTTTTAGATTCTTTTCCCATATAGGTCATTACAGAGTATTGAGTAGAGTTCCCTGTGCTGTACAGTAGGTTCTTATTAGTTATCTATTTTATATGTAGTAGTATGTATATGTCAGTCCCAATCTCCCAATTTATCCCTTCCCTGTCCCTCTCCCCCTTGGTAACCGTAAGTTTGTTTTCTACAGCTGTGACTCTTTTTCTGTGTTATAAATAGGTTCATTTGTACCACTTTTTTAGATTCCACATGTAAGTGATATCATATGATATCTTTGTCTTTCTCTGTCTGACTTACTTTACTCAGTATGACAATCTCTAGGTCCATCATGTTGCTGCAAATGGCATCATTTCATTCTTTTCTATGGCTGAGTAATATTCCATTTTGTGTGTGTGTGTGTGTGTGTGTACCACGTCGTCTTTATCCATTCCTCCATTGATGGTTGCTTCCATGTCCTGGCTATTGTAAATAGTGCTGCAGTTAACACTGGGATACATGCATCTTTTTGAATTTTGATTTTCTCCAGATATATGCCCAGGAGTGGGATTGCTGGATCATATGGTAGCTCTGTTTTTAGTTTTTTAAGGAACGTCCATACTGTTCTCCATAGTGGCTGCATCAGTTTATATTCCCACCAACAGTGTAGGAGGCTTTCCTTTCCTCCACACCCTCTCCAGCATTTATTGTTTGTAGATGTTTTGATGATGGCCCTTCTGACCGGTGTGAGGTGATACCTCATTGTAGTTTTGACTGGCATTTCTCTAATAATTAGCAACGTTGAGCATCTTTTCACGTGCCTCTTGGCCATCTGCATGTCTTCTTTGGAGAAATGTCTATTTAGATCTTCTGCTCATTTGATTGGGTTGTTTGTTTTTTTGATATTGAGATGCATGAGCTGTTTATTTTGGAGATTAATCCCTTGTCGGTCGCTTCATTTGCAAATATTTTCTCCCATTCTGTGGGTTGTCTTTTTGTTTTGTTTACGGTTTCCTTTGCTGTGCAAAAGCTTTTAAGTTTAATTACGTCCCTTTTGTTTATTTTTGTTTTTATTTTCATTACTCTAGGAGGTAGATCAAAAAAAGATCTTCCTGCGATTTGTGTCAGAGAATGTTCTGCCTGTTTTCCTCTAAGAGTTTTACAGTATCTGGTCTTACACTTAGGTCTTTAATCCATTTTGAGTTTATTTTTGTGTATGGTGTTACAGAATGTTCTGATTTCATTGTTTCACATGTAGCTGTCCAGTTTTCCCAGCACCACTTATTGAAGAGGCTGTCTTTTCTCCATTGTATATCGTTGCCTGCTTTGTCATAGATTAGGTGACCATAGGTGCATGGGTTTATCTCTGGACTTTCTATCCTGTTCCACTGACCTATATTTCTTTTTTTGTGCCAGTACCATACTGTTTTGATTACTGTAACTTCGTAATATAGTTTGAAGTCAGGGAGCCTGATACCTCCAGCTCCGTTTTTCTTTCTCAAGATTGCTCTGGCTATTTGGGGTCTTTTGTGTTTTCATACAAATTGTAAAATTTTTTGTTCTAATTCTGTGGAAAATGCTATTGATAATTTGATAGGGATTGCATTGAATCTGTAGATTGCTTTGGGTAATATAGTCATTTTCACATTATTGATTCTTCCAGTCCAAGAACATGGTATATCCCTCCATCTGTTTGTGTCATCTTTGATTTCTTTCATCAGTGTCTTACAGTTTTCTGAGTACAGGTTTTTTGCCTCCTTAGGTAGGTTTATTCCTAGGTATTATATTCTTTTCTTTTGCAATGGTAAATGGGATTGTTTCCTTAATTTCTCTTTCTGATCTTTCATTGTTACTGTATAGGAATGCAAGAGATTTCTGTGTGGTAATTTTATGTGCTGCAACTTTACCAAATTTATTGATGGGCTCTAGTAGTTTTCTGGTAGCGTCTTTAGGATTTTCTATGTATAGTATCACGTCATCTGCAAACAGTGACAGTTTTACTTCTTCTTTCCAATTTGGATTCCTTTTATCTCTTTTTCTTCTCTGATTGCTGTGGCTAGGACTTCCAAAACTATGTTGAATAAACGTGGTGAGAGTGGACATCCTTGTCTTGATCCTGGTCTTAGAGGAAATGCTTTCAGTTTTTCACCATTAAGAATGATGTTTGCTGTGGGTTTGTCATATATGGCTTTTATTATGTTGAGGGCCAGGCCACGCTGGATGAGAGCTGAACAGTAGATAAGCCACTGGCCTAGGCTGATTCTGGCCAGCAACGGGAAGTCCCACTTCATGTCCTACTTTAAAGCTCTTTGCCAGGAACACACAGTAAACTTTTCATTTGTATTGGTTAAGCTCCAAGAACCAGTACCCGTTTGGGGAATTGAAATGAGCACGGGCAGGTACAAGGAAGCTGCACTTTGCCAACCAGATTCTATACTGTCTGTCTCCAAACTTATAAGACGCAGCAGTAACCCAGAGCTGGAATCTCAGGGGAATGGGTAATGCTGATGGAAAATACATACACATCTAATATGAAACACACTTGTATCAATATTAACATGCAGAATCCTATATTGAGGGGTATTTTTGTAGTCCAAAGGTCTGGACTCAATCCTAATTTTACCTCTTTGGAGTATGACTTTGAAATGTCACCTAAAAGTTTTTTGAATCTCTTTCTTCATTTGTAAAATGGGAATATCAGGCTTACTTATCTCAGTGGGTGGTTATGAGAATCAAATGAGGGGATGTATATGAACTGATATGCGTTAATAGTTGCTAACGATGATATACTTCCTATGGAATGTTATTTCTTGAATCTTATATCTTTCTGATATATCCCTAGACCTGTAAGTTACAACTGGTTCTTTTTCTACTTGTGCAACAAGTGAAATCTTGTATTGGGTTCCTCAAAGTATGAATGGGTTCTTGGAATCACCCAGTTTTGTAAAAGATGGCTCAATCTCTCTCTTGTCATTTGCCCAACAGTGTGCCATGTAAAAAATGTGTGGTGGTTGGTAATGGCGGAGTTTTGAAGAATAAGACGTTAGGAGAAAAAATTGACTCCTATGATGTAATAATAAGGTAAATATATCTTCTATTTGCTAACCTGGAATTGTTTCAAAAGAGTATAGTTTCCTGCTTTAGTACCGCTGTGTTTTAAAAGGAAGCAGAGTCGCTGTAGTATGTTTAAGTACATTACACATTACTTGAGTTGTTGGCTGGAGTAGGCCTAGATTTCAGGTCATTTATTTAGCAAATATTTATGAAATCCCCTTAATATGCCAGGCACAGTCCTAGCTGTAGTTCTAGCACAGTTCTAGGGGGATATAGCAGTGAAAAAGAATAATATTCTTGCTCCCCGTGGAGCTTACATTCTAATGAGGGGAAGAAAACAGTAATTAAATAAAGAAATGTAGTAATAAATGCCATGCAAACAATTAAAACATGTGTGATAGAGAATGACTGAGTGGCTATTTTTGAATTGATGACTGTTTTGAAGGGGAGACGTCTAAACTGGACCTAAGACCACACAGTACCGGCCGTATGAAGACTAGGGAATACAGACAGAGAGGATGTTTACTGCAGGTCTCCAGGAGGGTATGATGCTAGGTTTAAGAGCAGCAGCAAGAAAACCAGTGAGGTTGGAGGGCAGCAGGCTGGGGAGGTGGTGCAGTTGGCAGCGAAGAGGTAGGTAAGGGGCAGGCTGTGTAGGACTTCGTAAACTACGATTAGAGCTTGCGTTTTATGTTAAGTATAACAGAAAACTTTTGAAAATTGTTAAGCAAGAGAGCAAGTCTATCTGGTTATGTCTTTAAAATACCCTGGTGATGGCATGGACAATGAAACAGGAAGGACAAGCTGTGGAAACGAAGAGGCCAGTTAGGTTGCTGCATTTGGGTAGATAATGGTGGCTTGCAACAGGATTGTCATGGTGTGGAAGGAGATAAGGGGCTAGACTGAGGCATGTTTTAGAGGCAGAGTTATCAGGATGTTCTGATGCATTAGATGTGAGCAGAGATGGGAATAAAGGAATGCAGGATACCTCCTCCTAGGTTTTCAGCTTAAGAGATTGGCTGGATAGTGGTACCATTCATTGAATTGGGGAGGACTAGGGTAGGAACAGGTTTAGAGGAGAATCAAGATTACTGTTTGAACATACCAAGTTTGATATGCTTACTAGATTTGCAGTGGGTAAGTCAAGTAGGCAGTTAGATAAACAGGTTAAAATCTTCATTGCGAACAGCCTGTAAGTTGTACTTAAACCATGGACTGGGTGAGATTTCCCAGGGAGAGACAGAGAAGAGGGCCCAGGACTGAGCTTTGAAGTAGTCAAAACTTAAAGGTTGAGCAAAGAAAAAGGAGTTAAAGAGTTGGAGAGGATCTACCAGTGAGGTAGGAAGAAAGACAGGAGAAGGTGATCACAAAAGCCAAGAGAGCACAGTGTTTTAAGACAGAGGGAGGTTTCAAGCATGACAAAGGCTGGTGAGAGGTCATGTAAGATAAGGACAGAGTTCACCATTGGACTGGCAAGCTGAAGCTCACTGTTACTCTTGACAGAAGAAGACTTGGAGGCACGGTGCGGGGGAGAAGCCCAAGTGGGGTGGTTTGAGGAGAGAATGACAGGTGAGAAAGTGGAGAAACCAGTAGAAGCAACTCTTTAGAGAAATTTCACTGTGGAGTTGAGAAATGAGATAGTCGCTGGAGATGATTATGGACTCAAAGGAGATTTTCTATTTTGTTTCCTTTTATAAAGATAGATTCTAAAGCATATTAGTAAACTGATGGAAATGAATAAGGAGGTTGGTGTGGTAACAAGAGAGGGAATGGGGTCCAAACACCAGTGTGGTTATCTCTGCAGTGGAAGGGAAAGCTGGGATTGTGGTTACAGCTACCAAGTCCCGTAGATGTAATGGTGGGGAAATGCGGACATTTCGAGTTCTGTTTTCTCATTGAAAGGGTGAAGATGGCTATGAATAGTCTTCTGTAGAGTGGGAAAGCTTCGCGCTGGGCAATGCATTAGGATGACCTGGCAGTGCTTGGGCATTTTGCTGGGTTACAAGCTGAGGGTTTCTGCACAGCGTGGTCACCTTATTTTCTGTGGATTATTCATTTTGAGGAAGCTGTGAAAATTTATCCACAAAACAATGTTGAAGCACTCACAAATTTCTTTATAATTGTCTAAAATCTGGTCACCTAGAACCACACCAGGCCCTTGTGGGAAAATGCCATTAAAGACATTATGAAAGTCATTTCAGGTGTTACTAAGGCTGCCTTATATCACAGTCAGTGGCAAAGGGTCAAACAGTATTTATCTCCTAGGGGACAGTGTTTTGGGAACAGTGCATTCCTTTTCATAGCACACCTTCATGGTGTGTGCATAAATAGTATATGTCTAACCTTGGCTTTGAGTATCCACAAACCCAACACTGGATCCTTTGTGGTTCTTTGGTTCACACCAGAGATAGTCATTCATTTGGTTGTGCTTGGGTATAAATATAGCAATTTTATGTTGTTACTTTATTTCAGAGCACAACAATTTTGGTGGGTTTTCAAATCACCTTAACTGTGACTCTTGCCTGTCAGTCACTGAGACACACGTCCACCTGCTACATGATTGTGTAACCCTGGGCAAGTAACTTTCTCTCTATGTACATTGGGGCCCTCATCTACAAACACAAGGGGTTCTGTCTGGATGTCCTGCCATGTCTCTTTTAGCTTGAGTATTCTGTGGTTTTATGTTCCCATTTGTTTCATTTTGTCTTCAATTTTTCTGGAGGTAAGAATGAATTATCAGGTCCCCACAGTTAATTTTCAAACACAAATGAATGTTTCTGCCTTTGATCAAACAGCTGTTTCACGAAAGGGAGTTATTTCCTTGGCTGTTACGTGTGAAAGATTGACGGATTGCCGTGTGGCTTTAGAGCCCTGGCTACACAGCTGACAATGTTTGTCCAGCTCTGAAAGCTCTGAGAACTGTGATGGACGTGACCCGTACTGCGCTTGGTCTACATATCTTGTGTGTTTTACTACCCACAGAATGAATAATGGTCCTATTTTAGGACACGAAGAGGAAGTTGGGAGAAGGACTACCTTCCGACTTTTTTATCCAGAATCTGTTTTTTCAGATCCCAATCACAATGATCCTAATACTACGGTGATTCTCACTGCTTTTAAGCCGCTTGATTTAAAGTGGCTGTGGGAATTGTTGACAGGTGGCAAAATAGTAAGTTGGCAAAATTGATCTGGCTTCCAATTACCTTCACTTTTTTTTTTCATTAAAAAAAAGAGACAACAACAAGTTGTATTTTTATTTTCTTACTTTATTTCAGAACACTAATGGTTTTTGGAAGAAACCAGCATTAAATCTGATCTATAAACCGTATCAAATCAGAATATTAGATCCTTTCATTATCAGAACAGCAGCTTATGAACTGCTTCATTTCCCAAAAGTGTTTCCCAAAAATCAGGTATGTATTTTCCTTTGCAGTTTCAAACTAAAGACCTCACTGGGGTGGGACAGAGGGTCCTTGGGGCTCTTGGAAACTGGATGAGAACCACAACTCGTGAGGTGGCTTCACTCACGCCTGGCTTAGTGAAATCACATTATCTTTGGATTTTAGCTTTATGTTTTTCATGTTGCAAGGAAAAGAACCTTAAGTGTGTGTGGGGGGGGGTTCTGCCATTAATTAATTCATTAATTATTTTTGGCTGTGTTGGGTCTTTGTTGCTGCCCACTTGCTTTCTCTAGTTGTGGCAAGCAGGGGCTACCCCTCCTTGGGGTGCGCGGGTTTCTCATTGTGGTGGCTCCTCTTTGTTGAGGAACACAGGCTCTAGGTGCGTGGGCTTCAGTAGTTGTGGCTTGTGGGCTCAGTAGTTGTGGCGCACAGGCTTAGTTGCTCTGCGGCATGTGGGATCTTCCGGGATCTTCCTGAACCAGGGCTCGAACCTGTGTCCCCTGCATTGGCAGGTGGATTCTTAACCACTGAGCCACCAGGGAAGTCCCTAATTCTTTTTAATTATAAGGAATCTCATTGACTCTGACTCTTGCAGCCCTGTTTGTCTACATTCCCTAGGGAAGAAATAGTCTTTAGACCCATACAGTGGCAGGCTATGTTTTTCACTTGAAGCTTGAGTAACTGTGTGATGTGATATCTCAGCTGAAATGAGGCTTTCCCTTTTGTAACTGGGTAAAATCCAAAGAAATAAACACGTATTTTGTATCTTTTCTTCAGCACGATAAAGAAATTCTAAAATATTACATGCTTAAAATCAAACAGCTTTTACAAAGGAGTGTTTTTTAAAAAAGGAAATCATCCTTTTCTCTTCTCTCCATAACTCAGATTATCTCCCAAGCTTTATTGCCTTTTATATCCTTCTAGGCTCTTGTCTATGCATTTACAAACACAAGCACTGGTTTTTTTAAAGTTAATTTTTATTGGAGTATAGTTGCTTTACAATGTGTTAGTTTCTGCTGTACAGCAAAGTGAATCAGTTATACCTATATCCCCTCTTTTTTTGATTTCCTTCCCATTTAGGTCACCACAGAGCACTGAGTAGAGTCCCCTGTGCTATACAGTAGGTTCTCATTAGTTATCTATTTTATACATAGTAATTATATATGTCAATCCCAATGTCCCAATTCATCCCATCCCCCCTTCCCCCCTTGGTAGCCATGTTTGTTCTCTACATCTGTGTCTCTATTTCTGCTTTGGGAGTAAGTTCATCTGTACCATTTTTCTAGATTCCACATATAAGCTGTATTATACGATATTTGTTTTTCTCTTTCTGACTTAACTTTCCTCTGTATGACAGTCTCTAGGTCCATCCATGTCTCTGCAAATAGCACTAGTTCGTTCCTTTTTATGGCTGAGTAATATTCCACTGTATATATATACCACATCTTCTTTATCCACTCCTCTGTCGATGGGTATTTAGGTTGCTTCCATGTCCTGGCTGTTGTAAATAATGCTGCAGTGAACACTGGGGCACATGTATTTTTTTGAATTATGGTTTTCTCCAGGTGTATGCCCAGGAGTGGGATTGCCGGGGCATATGGTAGTTCTATTTTTAATTTTTAAGGAACCTCCCTACTGTTCTCCGTAGTGGCTGTATCAATTTACATTCCGACCAACAGTGCAAGAGGGTTCCCTTTTCTCCACGCCCTCTCTAGCATATTGTTTGCATAGACTCTTGTCTGTTCATTTACAAACACAAGCACTTTTTGTTTGTTCAGTATAATTGTGATTATACTATAGATACTGTTCTGCTATTTCCCCTCTCCATTTAATTAACCCTTCCCCTATTTATAGACCTTTTTTTTTTTTTTTTTTTTTTGTGGTACGCGGGCCTCTCACTGTTGTGGCCTCTCCCGTTGTGGAGCACAGGCTCCGGATGCGCAGACTCAGTGGCCATGGCTCACGGGCCTAGCCGCTCTGCGGCATGTGGGATCTTCCCGGACCGGGGCACGAACCCGTGTCCCCTGCATCGGCAGGCAGACGCTCAACCACTGCGCCACCAGGGAAGCCCAGACCTTTAGTTTTATATCCAGCTTTTATCCTCTATAGGTAATGTAGAAATGCATGTACTTACAGAGATTTTCTGCACACTTGTGTGATTTCTGTAGGAAGGACATCTGGAAGTGGAATTCCCAAGTCAAAAAGCATAAATAGTTTAAACTTAAACCCTATTTCGTAGTAATTTTGAGGGGAAAGGACAGCTTCTGAATGTATATTTTGTGACTTTTCAGCTCTTACTTTCCTACGTGAAGTAAGATCAGATTTGTTCCTTGATTTTTGTTTTAGGTGGTGCACAGGAAGACCCTGGTCTTTCTTAGAGATGATCCTAGAACTAGTTGTAAGTAGACTGAAGTTCTAGTAGGACACAGTGTCCCAGAAGCCAAGGGAGGGACACAGCTGTATCTCAGAGAGGTCAGCTATGTCAGATGCGGTCCTGGAAACATGGAGGTCATATTGATATGGACAAGGGTAAGAAAGAGAAAGACAGCCTGACTGAACTGGGTTAAAGAGAGAGAACATGGGACACGAGTGAGCGGAGGCAAATCTTTAATGGAGTTTTGCTAGAAAAGAAAGCAGAGAAATGGTTGGAAGATATAGGCTCAAGAAGGTTTTTTTTTATTTTAAAGAAAGATAGATGATATGTTTGTGTGCTGAAGGGCATGATTCAATAGAGGGAAATATTGATGATGAAGAGAGAAAAGGGATACTTGTGAAAGCGAAATTGTTGAGAAAAGAAATGTGATAAAATGGAGTGCACGAGTGGAGAGGTTGGCCGTAGGTAGGAACAGGGACATCTTCATCCACATAGGAGTGAGCACTGAAAATATGGTTAAAGACTAAGGTAGATTTGGAATTGGGAAGATGACGTAGCTCTTGTCTGATCGATTCTGTTTTCTAAGAAAAATAAGGATTAAACTGACAAAGTAGGAAGAAGGGTAGAGCTGTTGGATAGAAAGGTATGAAATTGTCATCTTGGAGAGTAGGAACGGAAACTTACTAGGGGAGTGAAATGTAAAATGGATGGCTAGTGGGAAGCAGCTGCACAGCACAGGGAGATCAGCTCCAAGCTTTGTGATGACCTACAGTGGTGGGATAGGGAAGGTGGGAGGGAGACGCAAGAGGGAGGAGATATGGGGATATATGTATGCATATAGCTGATTCATTTTGTTATACAGCAGAAACTAACACACCATTGTAAAGCAATTATACTCCAATAAAGATGTTAAAAAAAAAAAAGAAAGACTTAAAAAAAAAAAAGGCTGTTAGGCTTGCAGACAAATTTGCTTCCTGGAGTTTATCTGATTTTATTGTGCTGCTCTGATTTTTTTCTTTTTCTCAGTCATAATTAATCATACGTAATTTCCATGGCATCTGTAAGAAACATTTAATCAAAAGAAAATCTCCTTGTATTTTTGTATTAGTAAATTTAAGATATATCTTGTTTTTGCCTCTGAAGGCCATCCAACGAGAATGAAAACTTTGAATGCCAAGACCCTTCTGCCAAACATCTATTATAGTGTTTTTCAGGATATATGTACATGTGAAGAGGATGCTTGGTTTCTTTCTTTTTAGTTAAAATTTAGTTAAAATTATAATCAATTTAAAAACAAAATTGAGATTGTGACTTTAATCTGTATATACGTCTAGAATCTTTATTTTCTAGTCAGATCATTACCATGGCAATTTGTTATTGAAGTTACTTGATTAAAGCCGTCTTTCCCTAGAGCTAAATTATCAGCATTATAAAATAGAACCATTTTAAGGCTAAATTATTTGAAGCCTTTTAGCATGATCTTATCCGTTAGTGAATTAAGCTGTCCTTACGTTTCATACGTGGGTTTAACATTCTCAGGCTTTGCTTTTTCCACAAGTTGCTTGACTTCGGTGTGTTTTTTAAAAACAAGGCAGCAGCATCCTTTTCCTTAAAGGCTTCATTTGATAGCTGTCTTCTGGACTAGTACTGCAGTTAAGTTTGACCTGAGAGACTTTCTAAGATTCCAAGCAACACTTTATATTCAGAGTTAGGATATTAACTTTGGGGCTTGAGCCTTAGGGCATGACAAGGATTTAACTGAAGTATTTCTGTCCTGATTAAATGTTCAGAAGATGCTATTTTATAAGATTAGGTCACCCAAATGTTTTGGAAACAGGTACGTTGTTTGGATTTTTTTCCCTAAATTTTCATTTCCTCCTCCAGAAACCCAAACACCCAACAACAGGAATTATTGCCATTACATTGGCATTTCACATATGTCATGAAGTTCACCTTGCTGGTTTTAAGTACAACTTTTCTGACCTCAAGAGTCCTTTGCACTACTTTGGGAATGCCACCATGTCTTTGATGAATAAGGTAAAAAATATATATATATGTGTGTGTGTATATATATATATATATATATATACACACACACACACACACACACACACACAGACACACACACTTTGGTATAATCTTTGATCTTTAGAGTTGGAAAGCTTATATTCTCCCTTTTCACCCTGTCATTTTACTGAGGGAACAGGTTTTGAGGGGATGACGGCTTGATAAGGGTTTACAGAGATAGCACGTGCTGAAATTAGGACTCAGGTCCAGAGTTCTTACTACAGCTCCCAATCTGTTGGCCTCAGACCCCTGGGAGAAACTCATCAAACCTATATAGGGACCAAGCCTTACCCTAGATACTGTATCATATTTGCACTATTTGAATATATAGAAACCTGCTGTTTGAGATATTTCAAATTCACCTAAAAGCATGGCCATAATCATACAAATTATTTTCATGTAGTTTTTCAGTTAAGTCGATGAGAAGGTCCATAACATTTTAACCTCATGAAAGAATCTTCATGGTCAGAAAAGTTGTAAACCTCTATACTAGATCATTCTTCTCTTGAATGGGGATTAATGGTGGTGGATTTGATCCTTAAGATTTTGACTTTAATTGGTTAAATGGGAAGGAATTTCCTATTTTCCTAATTATAACTTAGTGACACAGTGATAGGATTAAAATGTTACCTGTACATTTTAAATATTGAACTGTGAATGATTTGCTGTTAAGTATATGGATATATCCCATGACATGAAACCAGTCCCCTTAAATCTTCATCCCTAAGTACTATATAAGCTGAAAAAGTGGTATTATTCAGGTTAGAGCTTAACACTTTCAAATTCTGGTTTCTAGATTTATACCATAATTCAGTAGACTAGAAGATGATGTGAGGGAGCCTCTTACTTATGTGATGGTTTAAGTGGAAAGAGTGGGCTTTAGGGAAAGCTCTGGCACAAGAATGAGCAATGAAAAAGAAATGAGAAAGATAAGTTAAAAATCCATGCCACTTGTTACTTGAGTTTTTAATTAAGCTTTTTAGATACAGCATATTCCGTTGCTGCTGTTGTTAACATTTTGAGATTGGGATAGATGGTGATTTTATTTTATTTTTCTTCTTTAGAATGCGTATCACAATGTGACTGCAGAGCAGCTCTTTTTGAAGGACATTATAGAAAAAAACTTTGTAATCGACTTGACTCAAGATTGACCCTACAGACTCAGAAGATGATGCTAACAGTATTAGTTTTATTTTTACACTGCAATTTTTAGTTTATTTTTAAATATGTTGGATGTACTTGTCAAGAAATTATATTAAGTCTGTTGCTGCCTGGTGCTTCATAACCACCAGCTTAATTTCTGTGAATATATTTAATTTATGGAAACCAAGACATGCTAAGATATCAGGGAGAGTGAACTTTTCATTGCATTGTTTTAAAAATAAGCTAGTTTTCTGAGGTGTTTTTAAGCATCTTTTTATAGTTACTTCATCTTAGACTTTTGAAGGGATGTGACTTCCTAATAAGTAAGGGGATTTAGTTTACCACAGCAGCTTTTGAATGTAACGTGACATTTTGAGAGGTTTATCTGCCTCCTGTAAATTGGTGGGGAGCTGGCACGCAGTGGTGCCTTGAATGTGGCATACTGGAACCACTTCAGGCCTCTGTCTCTCTCTCTCTCTCTGGATGATTGTTTGGTTCCTTTTTGTTCTACCTGAGGAACCTGACTGGAATCTTAAACCAGACCCTAAGCATGGATGATTAGGGAAACCTAAGATCATACTGGCTTAATTAAGCATTTTTTTTCCTACAGTTAAGTTAAACCATGATTATGATGACTACTTTGGTAGAATGAAGATGTTTTTTAAGTCGAAGGAAATAGGATAAATATGAAACTCTGGATAAGTAAATAACCAAAGAAAGAATGCAATTCCTAAAGTCTGGTGACTGCATTATTTTAAAGAAATAAAGTTTATACAAAGAAGCTGAACTAGGCAAGCTCAAGAAGGAGAAAATTCTTAAAACATTTTTTGCCTGGTTTAATTTATTCATTAAAATTTCAAAGTTTATTGGAAGTAAATTAGGAAAGACATGAATGGGTAAACCTTTAAGAAGAGTCAAGCTTTTTCTGGATTTAAATGTCATTTTCGTGAAAAACCAATTGTCCACATGATTGATTGATTAAATCGCATCTTCAAACGGAAAGCTTACCTAGGGTGCACCAGAGAAGACTCTTGTGGGATGCAAACAAGCCAGTTGGACAAAAGTGGTGAGCTAGTCGTCTCCCTTTTCATTTTAATGTCTGACTATAACCAAAGGCTATGGGGAGGGAGGGGGACAAGGGGTGAAGAGAACAGTGGAGGTTATAAGGCTGGAATCAAGAGCTGTCAGAAGAGGTAGGAGTGGAAAGAACTGGCATCTTTTGAACAATAATTATCACTGGGAGACAATGATAATTATCACTAACTAGCCTGCATCTCTAAAGAGAGTGTATAAATACTATTAGATCAGAAACAGAAATAAGTGACTGACATACTTGAAAGTGGTGTAAGGGGGACAAAACTAGTAGCTGACCTAGGCAATAAATATGGACTCTGTTCTGTTAATCCCAGCATATGTTTGCACCGTACCAGCCTCGTTTGATTTTTCTGATAACGTCTTTGAGGTGGAAAAGGCACTGCTGTTCAATGTGAACTTTCCCTTATACCACACAGCCATAGGCTGCAGCTGGGCTGCTGAAGCTGAGTTTGATGTAAAGTAATTCGGGCTTCAGAAAGGATGGTGCTGGCTACAGAAAAAGTCAATGTCAAAAAACAACGGTAGGCACTTCCCTGGTGGTGCAGTGCGTAAGAATCCGCCTGCCAATGCAGGCAACACGGGTTCGAGCCCTGGTCCGGGAAGGATCCCAGAAGACGCAGAGCAACTAGGCCCATGTGCCACAACTGCTGAGCCTGCGTGCCACAACTACTGAAGCCCACGCGCCTAGAGTCCGTGCTCTGCAACAAGAGACGCCACCGCAATTAGAAGCCCGCGCACCGCATCCAAGACTAGCCCCCGCTCACTGCAACTAGAGAAAAGCCCCCGCGCAGCAACGAAGACCTAACGCAGCCAAAAATAAATAAATGAATTTATAAAAACAACAACAAAAGAAACCAAACCCCCCAATGGTGGCATTTTCAAATGTTACTGTAAGTACTATAATATTGGCCATAAAAACCTGATCTTAAAATTGAGGGATCTGGCATTTTGCATGGTATGAGAAAGGTTACAAACCTCAAGGTTGTTTTATTTAAGCAAAAAACAAAAAACCTGAACAAGACATATATACAATTTATTAAAGACATGAACACATTAAAATCTCACTATTTATACAGTCTAAATTCTAGCAACATATACAAATACTGAGTGACTACAGTACATGCCGAGGTAAGAAAAGTACATTCTGGGAGAATATCACTGACACTCAAGCCATTTTTATTTCCAATACGTATTTCAATACATGTTTTGTTTCTACCTTTCCCAGTGCCAAAAAAGAGGAGGAGGAGATGAGAAGAAACTAGTCAGTCACAAGTTGGATTAAATGAGAACTGGTGCCACAATTGACCTAAAAGTATCCAACTCTTCCTTAGATTTTGCAGTTTAGGGACTTCAAGTTCAGAACTGAAAGGCAGAGCCAGTAGGTAATTTTTTTTTTTTTTTTTTTTAATAAGCAGAGCTTCATTGATTTAAGAGGGGCTGAAAAGCTTTTATTGTCCCACCTAATCTATTCATTCTTTCGAATTGTATTATCTGACATGGTGTTTCTGTAACCCTCTTGCTCTCCAGGTAACAATGTGGAGCCCAGGGAAAGAAGTTCAAGCTTTATCACATTCCATAGAATTACAGCCACATTCATATTTAAACGAGCTCATTTTCTGCTCCCTCCAGTGCGAGGGTGGGGGGGAGGTGTGTTGGGGGGGAGGGCAAGTGTATACGTAACATCCTAATTTCAGTTACTGAATAAATCCTCTGCTCGAACCATTTCAACAGCGAATAAACCCATTGTTCAATACAAAGTGCAAACAGTGAAACGTGAACTTAAATAACTGGGCTAGACCCTGCATACGCAATAGGATCTATTTAGATTTACAGCTTTCAATAAAATATAAATCAGCATTCACAATATCTTCCCTTTAACTGTGCCGGTTCCCAAGATCAAGTAACAGCGAAGCCAGTGTAATTTTGTGAAACCTTAAGGGCCACATTTCCTGCACCACTGTCTGATTCTACTTTTGTAACTGCATTAACGGGAAAGAATTTAATCCAATAAGCCACAGTGAGTTAAATCTTTTACATGTTTCAAGCAAAGAATAAAAATTCCAAGGGAATTTTGTAAAAAATGGTTACTTTCACATTTTCAGTTGTTACTTGATTGTCTCCAAAGCTGTATATATAGCAGACATAGTAACATTAGGAAAAAAAAAAAAAAACACCCCAAAACAAAACTCTAACATGAAAACATACGAATTAAAAGAAAAAGTTCAAACCAGTACAACCCTTTGTATCAGGCTCAGCTCTTCATTTGGAAAGTAAAATATATAATAGTAGTAAAAACTAAGTATTTTATAAAAATTATTGGTAGTTCAAAAACAGCACAGTGGCAATATATGAATCAAGTCTTAAAACATGCATTACTTAAGAAAACATTTGCTTCTCAAAAAAGAAGTTCTATGGGAAAACAATCAGGTACACACAAACAAAAATAGCAAGCATCTTTGGAAAAATGAAATAGTTACTGAAATCATTTCTCTTAAAGCTTCGAACAGGCATATGATTTGAGAAAAAGTATATTTTTGTATACTAAGGACGAATAAAAAAATAAAGCAATTGGTTTACTCTCTTCCCACCTGAAAGGGGATGACTGCATTAATACATGTGCTTCACACATTCATAGGTTTTAATAAAAGTTCAACATCTGTGCTTTTTGTTTCAAATATTTTGAAACAAAATGTGTATTGGTTTTTCAGTGAATAAAATTATGCCTCAAAAGTCTGTTGGAAAAAAGGAAACGCCACTGAAAATAAGACCAAGAAAATCATACAACTAGAAGGCAGGGAGGCCGTAGAAATAGGCAGTTCTGTTTTGAAGCAACGTTTTACAATACTGATAGACTCATGGAAGCAAGCAAAATGAACACTGTACATCATTAGTCAAATTTAGCATATTCTGCTATCATCTGGTGGCACAGGCTAAAAGAAACAACTAGAACCTGATGGGGAAGTATATTTCAATATTAAGTCTGCAAACTAAGGTTTATATTGATTGACAGAAGAGAGGATGCCAAGTTTCTATATTTTAATCATATGGTCAGCTTCCATATCATCTTACCAGTCTAAAGACTTTTAAAGATGGTTTCTACACTAACGCTAATAAACTGCACATGGTTTCTATTTCAGTCATTTAAACTAGTTCTGGGCAAATGGTGACTAAGAAGTTGCCCAGAGGTATCAAAAACAAGACAGGAATTTTCCCTTGCTAGGATGCTGAAACATTTGTTCCCTAGGTATAATATAAAGGACTGCACCCCCTACCACATAGATGGCATAATCACACAGAGCTGAAGAATACATGCTGGGTTTACATTTCTTATAGTAGTTTACTGTGGAAAACAAGTATTTCTTTATTCGACTAAAAACAACAAATTACCTTGAGATTCAAAGAATAACCTGTATACGTAAAACCAAAGAGGACAAATTCGGTTACTTTTTTTGGCGGCGGGGGGTGGTAATTTATATGACTCCCGAGGAGTCATGATTTTGCCTTTCACCGTGATAAATATAAGTGGGTATTGTTTAGCGTTCACTTTTAGAAACCCTCAACTTTTCACAACCCTCCTAGGAAAAATTCCATTGCAAGTAAAGTTCGGGGCGGGAGAATCTCCTTTACAGCTTTTTTAATTTATAAAGTTGTTCTGTTTCCACATGGAAACATTAGGGGATCTGAAATAATGAGGTTGATAAAGCAAGCATCACCCACTGAAAAAACTCAAGCATTTATAAACACAAAGAACGGGGCTGGCCACCAAGGGCCCCAGGTGGAACAAGCAGGGATGAGGCCAAGTTACGTACTATGAAATGTTAAAGCTCGTTAGAGTGTCAGAGAGTGAAAAATCACTCTGCTCACTACAGGTCAGTTTCCCAGCTATAGCTCTTCCTAAGGAAAGATGTATAAGTATATATGACTGCAATCAAAACAAGGATTATGTCACTATTTTTTAAAAAAATTCAGAAAGCAATACAGGAATAGAAGAGGAAGAAGTCATGATAGTACCCACCTTTCACAAAGAGCAGAATTTCAAGCCATCAGACATTTTATAACAGTACCGTGCGTTATTGCCAGAAAGGCTTACAGAGCCATCTCGAGTTCATCAATGTAACTGCAGCATTGGTAATAAATACTCTCAGTGATTTTTAATTTCTTTGAAGTGCATAGTAGGGAGCTTTTTCTGTATAAAATAGTGTTTTACAGTAGTAACAAACAGGATATTTGAAATTTAATAGGCAAGCAGTAACTGTGCTACAGTAACACTTTTAAAGCAAGATGGCAAGACTAGTAGTTTCCTGTACCTCGGTCATCACATTTCCCCCAACCACGTCCGTGACAGATATGTAATACGTTCTATATATTACTACCACTAATACAATTTAAAAAAGGCCATGTGCTTTAAAATGATGCTTTGTAAAAGGCAGCATCACCTTCAAAGGGTTTCTTTAGAAACACCACACTCGCCAGCCCTCCCTGCTCCTGATACCCCCTGTGCGCTCTGTGGCACTTGGTATACCAACTCGTCTGGGGCACTTGGAGCCGGCTTCCCACCTTTCGGTGTATCATACTGGGCCTGGGCTGAGGAGCAGCTGTCAGTCCTGGAGAGAAGAGTGTTGTATGTTCCCACCAGAGGGGGAGGTTGGTTCCCTGCAGCTTTGAAAGTGGACGCTGAGGGCAGGCCAACCGAAGCTGCGGGGTGCCCGGACATATCCACGACAATTG